GGGAAAGGCACCGCGAGCAGCATCATGTCTCTGTAAGTAGATTTTATCCCTTTCCCTGTAGCTCAGGCAGCGTGCAGGACGGTCTGACATCCAGCTAGCACTGATTTGTATATTTTCATTCTTTGCATTTTAGAGTCAGTTTTTAAACTTTTCCCAGTTCCTACAGCTGCGTGGAGGGGTCAGGGGGTTTTGGGAAGTCAGTGTGGTGAGAACATCTCATTCCTGTACTGCTTTGGGAGCTGGTGGTGGTTTGAGCAGTGCAACCCCTCCTTTGTAGCTGTTTTGAAGTGGAGCTTGTGAGCTGTGTGTGTTCATACCCCTCTGGAGGTGATGATGGATGAGTGAATGAAGGGATTTCAAACCCACAGGGATGGGGAGTCCTTTCTTGGGGAGATAATTCAGCTGCATAAATCCATGCTGTAGTTCAGGCAGCGTGCAGAACGGACTGAGATCCAGCTAGGTCTGACATCCACCTAGCCCTGATTTATATATTCATTCTTTGGCATGTTTTAGAGTCGGTTTTTAAAGTTTTCCCAGTTCCTACAGCGGTGCCTGTGGTTGTGTGGAGGGATCAGGGGGTTTTGGGAAGTCACTGTGGTGAGAACATCTCATTCCTGTACAGCTCTGACTGCTTTAGGAGTGTTGGTGGTTTGAACAGTCCAACCCTTCCTTTGTAGCTGTTTTGAAGTGTAGCTTGTGCCCTGTGTGTGTTCATACCCCTCTGGAGGTGATGATGGATGACTGAATGAATGGATTTCAAACCCACAGGGATGGGGAGTCCTTTCTCAGGGACATTATTTAAGCTACATGAATTTGCACTGTAGTTCAGGCAGTGTGCAGAGTGAACTGATGTTCAGCTAGCACTGACCTCCAGCTAGCACTGATTTATATATATTTTCATTCCTTGGTGCATTTTAGAGTCAGTTTTTTGAAGTTTTCCCAGTTCCTACAGCTGTGCCTGTGGTTGTGTGGAGGGGTCAGGGGGTTTTGGGTAGTCACTGTGGTCAGAAAATCTCATTCCTGTACTGCTTTAGGAGCTGGTGGTGGTTTGGGCAGTGCAACCCCTCCTTTGTAGCTGTTTTGAAGTGGAGCTTTTACCCTGTGTGTGTTCATACACCTCTGGAGGTGATGATGGATGACTGAATGAATGGATTTCAAAGCCACAGGGATGGGGAGTCCTTTCTAGGGGAGATATTTAAGCTACATGAACCGCCTCATCTAATCCCTCTGCCTGCAGCAGATCCACCCAGATGGGTTTACTTTTCACCCAGACTGCACAACTTTCACACTGCACAGAAGAACTGGGTCTGTAGCAGGTGGAAAGATGCAAAAATCTGTGGTTTGTGCTTTGATGGCTGGGATTGGGAGGAGAGGAGCCTTCTCCTAGTGCCAGTACAGCACTGTGAACAAGCCTCTCCTTGGAAACTTGTTTTATTTATAATTAATTCCAAAGCATCATGGTGCACTAACTCCCAACCCAAGCAATTAAAAGCATTAAAATCCCACAGTTTGGTCTCTGTAACCAGTGAATCCTAAACCCCACTGGAAGTTTAACCAAACTGGTTTGTAGGGAGGGGATTTTACCTCATTTCCTTTGGCTCCTGCTCTCAGATCCAGTGCCAGGAGGGCAGGGGGGCACACAGGGGTGTGTTTTGGCAAAAAACACATTCCAAGCCCCAAAAATCACGGCATTTTGAGATTTTGTGATCATTTTCCCCACTCAGCCATGCTCACCAAGGTGTGACCCCTCACAGGAGGGTGCCAGGGTTCAGGAACAGCTCAGGGCTGTTTCCTGCAGATGTTCCTGCAGATCCAGATGTGCTCGGCAGCAGGGCAGTGGCAGCACCCACAGCTCAGGGTGGAGCTGGAAACCAGGGATGTTCTCCTCAAAGCAACAACCCCTCACTTCTGATATTTTACAATTTCCTTTCTTTTCCTCAGCTTGAGAGATTTGGGAGCACCTCATTGGGTTCTCCTTCCTATAATGTGTCCCCTAGAGGAGACAGGGGGTGTGCTTTGCTAACAACCCTGACAAATACCACTTCTAAACTGGAATATTTACTCCAAAATCTGTGAAAACCTTGGTCAGACCCCCTCCTGCCCCAGCACACAGCTCCTGGGAGGTGCATTGGAGCTTTGGGAATTGTGTCCATGATTAACACTTGTGAATTATGAAAATGGGGAATTTTCCTTGATGTAAGCTTCAGAATCCTTTAGGGCAGCACAGAAAATTGGATGAGCTGCTCTAAAGTGCATTTTTAAGAACAACTTGGGGCTTGCAGGTAATTTGGGGTGCAGATGGGAGCTGGTGGGGGGTTGGACACCCGCATGGGGCCAGCCAAGGTGGGGCAGCATCCAACCTTGCTGATCCAGCCCAGGATGCTCCACAGGCAGATGCACCGTGCCCCACACCCAGCAGGGCCTTCCCTTCCCAAACCCCATCAGCTGGAGCTTGGCTGAGTGCCTGGATTAACTCTGCAAATCCTTTAACACCCCAATTTGCCCTTATCTGAATGTGAACACCACAGAAGGAGAATTAAATACAGGGAACTTCCCCCATCTCACCCCTGAATAAACCAAATTTCCTCAGTAAATAAAGAATATCTCAGTGGGCGTCACTTTCCATGTCCTGCAGCGGCTGAATTATCCCAATTATCACTTGTACTGAGCAAGGCATCACTTTTGGGCCAGGAGAGGGGGATTCTGCTCCCAGCAGCTTTGAGGGCTGATGGCACAGAGGAGAATTTCCCACTTTTGCTGGTTGATGACCCAGCTGTGCCTCAGTTTCCCCAGCAGGGTCTTCCCTTCCCAGCCCCACATCGGTTGCGTGCTTGGATTAATTCTGCAAATCATTTAACACCCCAATTTGCTCTTATCTGAATGTGAACACCACAGAGAAAGAGTTAAATACAGGGAACTTCCCCATCTCACCCCTGAATAAACCAAATTTCCTCAGTAAATAAAGAATATTTACTCAGGGGACATCACTTCCCATGTCCTGCAGTGGCTGAATTGTCCCACCTGCAACCAAGGCATCACTTTTGGGCCAGGAGAGGAGGATCCTGCTCCCAGCAGCTTTGAGGGCTGATGGCACAGAGGAGAATTTCCCACTTTTGCTGGTTGATGACCCAGCTGTGCCTCAGTTTCCCCAGCCCCAGGACAGGAACAGCACCATCTGTGGTGCTATGAGCTCTCCCACAGCCCCAGCCCGGCGTGTGAAGACTTGGGGGTTCGCGTTCACAGGGGATTTGTTTGATCTGGAAATAGCAGGGTTAGAAAATTCCATCTGCGCGAACCAAAGCAGCGCCGCTTGGCTCCTCTCCGGGGAAGCAGTGGGAGCAGAGCTGCATTCCAGGAGGGCTGGATGTGCACAGCAGAGTGGGGCACGTTTCCCTTCCTGCTGCTGTGCTCCCACCACGGAAACCCTACAGCAGAATTTGTGTCTCTAATGGTGCCAAGCCAGGCTGGTGTCTCATGGCATCACCAAGCCAGGCTGGATGGGGCTGGAGCAACCTGGTCTAATAGAAGATGTCCCTGCTCATGGAATAGGATCTTTAAGGTCCCTTCCAACCCCCAAAAATTATAGGATTTTGAGATTTTATGATAATTTTCCCCACTTAGCCTTTTCCCCAACCAGCATGGAGAGTTATGGTTGATGCTCTTCTTGCACATACGGAAACAGCTTCTCTTCTCTTCTCTTCTCTTCTCTTCTCTTCTCTTCTCTTCTCTTCTCTTCTCTTCTCTTCTCTTCCTCTCCCCATTTTTTCTCCTTTTTTTGGGGTGCAGGTGCTTTCCCTGCTGCTCTCATCCCTCAGTATCTGTGCCAGGCAAGCAGTGAAATTCCTCCTGTCTTTGGTGCTGCCTGAGGTCACCCAAGGAACTCTCTGCACGTTAAACTAAACACAAAATGCTCGTTACAAGCTCTTCCTCCCCAGCTGTACAGGTCTCCTAATAAATACATGCTTTTCTCTTGAAAGCTTCTCAAGGTTTATTTTTGAAACAGTCTGTATTTGATTAAAGTCTTGTTTTGTTTTGCTTTGTTTCAAGAGGAACTTAAAAGGGCCATCGGCCTGTAAACATAAATATTCCCATTCTTCCACTGATTCTTTGCATTTTTCTGGGTTTACTGGTGAAAAATGTTTCAGCAGGGCAAGTCTCTGTGTTGTGGGAGCATCTTCCACTGCTCCAGCCTTGACCAGCCTTTAATGGGAGAAATTTTCCCTGATATCCAATCCAAACCTGCATTGGTGCTGATTGAGGACGTTCCCTCTCCTCCTGTCCTGTTCCCTGGAGCAGAACCCAACCCCAAGGCTGTCCCCTCCTGTCAGGAGCTGTGCAGAGCCACAGGGTCCCCCCTTGAGCCCCTTTTCTCCAGGCTGGGCCCCTTCCCAGCTCCCTCAGCCCCTCCTGATGTGGTGGTGTTCACAGGGGTCCCAGGAGGAGGGAAGAGATGAGAAACTTGACTCCATGTTTCAGAAGGCTGATTTATTATTTTATGATACATTAAAGGAGAATGATATACTAGAACTATACTGAAAGGATTTCATCAGAAGGCTTGAACGGAATAGAAAGGAATGATAATAAAATCTTGTGACTGACCAGAAAGTCCGAGCCAGCTGGGCTGTGATTGGCCATTAATTAGAAACAACCACGTGAGGCCAATCAAAGATGCACCTGTTGCATTCCGCAGCAGCAGATAATTATTGTTTTTCTTTTCGTCTGAGGCTTCTCAGCTTCTCAGGAGAAAAATCCTGGCAAAGGGATTTTTCAGAAAATATCATGGCTACATCCTGGTGGCTCTAGCCCCTTCTCCAGTTCCATTCCCATCTCTGGATTCGCTCCAGCTCCTCAATGTATTTCTTTGTCATGAGCAGTCCAAAACTGACCCCAGCATTCGAGGTGTGGCCTCACCAGTGCTCAGCACAAGGGTCACTCACTGCTCTGGCACAAGATGTGACCTCCCATCCCTGTTTGTTTTTATCTCCCCCCTCTCCCTGCAGGTTCTAACTGAGCAGCCCTTATGACCAACATGAGCTGGAGCTTCCTCACCCGCCTGCTAGAAGAGATTCACAACCATTCCACCTTCGTGGGGAAGGTCTGGCTCACCGTGCTCATCGTCTTCCGCATCGTCCTGACGGCGGTGGGGGGCGAGTCCATCTACTCCGATGAGCAGAGCAAGTTCACCTGCAACACCAAGCAGCCGGGCTGCGACAACGTCTGCTACGACGCCTTCGCGCCGCTCTCCCACGTCCGCTTCTGGGTCTTCCAGATCATCATGATCTCCACGCCCTCCGTCATGTACCTGGGCTACGCCATCCACAGGATCGCCCGCTCGGCCGAGGAGGAGGAGAAGCTCAAGGGCTTCAAGAAGAAGAAGCAGTTTGCCCTCAACTGGCAGGCCGTGCGCAACATGGAGGACGCCATGGAGGCCGACGAGGAGGAGCCCATGATCTCTGACGACGCGGCCGAGCACGACAAGGCCACCAAGGCCAAGCCCAAGTGCAAGGAGCAGCAGAAGCACGATGGGAGGAGGCGCATCCAGCAGGAGGGGCTGATGAAGATCTACGTCTTCCAGCTCCTCACGCGGGCTTCCTTCGAGGTGTGCTTCTTGATAGGGCAGTATCTGCTCTACGGCTTCGAGGTGGAAGCTTATTATGTCTGCAACAGGGTCCCGTGTCCCCACACCGTGGACTGCTTCGTGTCCCGGCCCACAGAGAAGACCATCTTCCTGCTGGTGATGTACGTGGTGAGCTGCCTGTGCCTGCTGCTGAACATGTGCGAGATGTTCCACCTGGGCTTCGGCACCATCCGCGACGCCATCCGCAACCGCAAAATCAACAGCTTCCGCCAGCCGCCCTACAACTACGCCTACCCCAAGAACATCTCCTGCCCTCCCGAGTACAACCTGGTCGTCAAATCCGAGAAAGCCACCAAGATCCCCAACAGCCTGATGGCCCACGAGCAGAACTTGGCCAACGTGGCCCAGGAGCAGCAGTGCACCAGCCCCGACGAGAACCTGCCCGCCGACCTGTCCACGCTGCACAAGCACCTGAGGGTGGCCCAGGAGCAGCTGGACATCGCCTTCCAGAGCTACAGCAGCACCCAGGCCAACACCCAGCCCTCTCGGACCAGCAGCCCTGCCTCGGGGGGCACCGTGGTGGAGCAGAACAGGGCCAACACCGCCCAGGAGAAACAAGGTGCTAAGCCCAAGGCCTCACTGGAGAAAGGCAGCTCCAGCAGTAAAGATGGGAAGACATCCGTGTGGATATAACTGTGTCAGGAAGGCGCGAGAGGGGCTTTGGTTTTGGTTTGTGTCTGGTTTTCGGCGTTATCTGGCGTTTGTTTCGCAGGGTGCGGTTTTTGCGTGGAAGTCGAGAGAGTGAAAGGAGCGTTGGACCAATTTAGTGCTGTCTTCCAGTTAACAAAAGACATTTCTTCTCTGTTTCCAATGTGTTCTCCAACTGGGAACCTCCAGTGCTGTAGTGTTGTTAAAGTTTAGGCCTGGCAAAGCCAGAGCCCCCATGAATATACCTTTTACCTGATATCTGCTGTGAGATGTGGCCAGGAAATAAGCAAAGCAGGCTCCAACTTAAACATAAAGAGAAGTTTATTAACTAGGTGCTCATCTCAAAATCCGACCACCCATTGGTAACCACAGCAAAACAACATATCCCAGATGTCCCGTTTCCGGTCAAACCACGACAAGTGTGTTCATTAAGTTCATTTAATTCCTCCCCCATTTTATGTATCTGCTTCCCCCATTTATGCATGATCCAGGTGACCATGGTGATGCTTTAATTTAATACAGAAATAGCCCATCACAGAAAATAGCTGTAATTGCACTCATAGTCCATTGAGGAGAAGGAGGAGGGTGTCCCTCAGAGTTCAAAAAACAAGTTTGATGGCAAAAGGCTTCACCCAGAGCAGCCTCTGCATCCACAGTGAGTGCACTCAATGATTCTGCCCACTTCCAGCTTGCTTTTGGGGACCCTGCAGATGCAGTTGGTGCCAAAGTTGGTGTCCCGAGTCTGGATGCAGCGCAGGCAGCAGAGGTTCTCATAGCCCTGCTTCTTCCACTTGGCTATCAGGTTTTTGTCAGCATAGCCCTCCTTGATGTAGTACTCATAGAGCTCTCTGCTGATTGCTTTCCTCTTGTAGAAGAGATCAAAGATGTAACGTGTTTTCTGGTGGTGGATCCTGAAGATGGGCCAGAGAGACTCCAGTTTCCTCTTCCCTTCGTGTGGCTCTGTCTCAGCTTCTCTCATCTTCTGGTCCAGCTCGTCCAGCGTGGGCTCGATCAGCTCCCAGCCATCCGGGGGAGGCTTCCTGCTCCTCTTCACTTTGGGCATTGCCTCGGCAGCGAGAGGGCCAAAGGGCGAGGGGAACTGCCAGCACTCCCTCAGAGTCACGCCGCTCCCGTCGCGCCGCCGGCCCCTGCTCCACTCACTGTCCCCAAGTCTGGGGGTTCACTGGGGGGAAAGAAAGGAATTTCGGTGGTGGGACCTGGCCCCAAGTCTGGGGAAGCAGATCCCACAGGAAAGGGAAAACGAAAAACGATAGGGGTGAGGACTGTCCCCAGAAGAACAGCCCGCGCCAAGAGGGCCCCCCGCCGTAGAGAGAGAGGGCAGAGCTTCCCCGCGCCCGCCGGCGCGAATTCTAAAGGACAGCGAAACACGCCGCAAAGAAACAACGCAGCTGCGTATACTGCTTTTAAAATCCCGGGGCAGCAGCAGCAGCAGGGAGCCGGGACACGCCCTGCCGAGCCGAGGCCAACACAAAGGCTCCCCCGCCGTGGAACGCAGCCCACCCCCCGGAGCCGAGAGAACAGCTGCCCCCACGCCACGTGGCAAGCCGATACCGGAGCCCCCCGCGCCACGTGTAGCGCTCTCCCCGCGCCAAGAGAGAGAATTTCCCCCGGCCACGAGCAGCGCCCGGAGACCAGCCCTCAAGGGAAGAAGGGTCGGGAGCGGTCCCCAGCGCAGGGAGGGCTCCCAGGCAAAATTAAAAAGGCAGGGGGGGTAACCACCGAGTCCGGGGCTCACCTAATCCAGCAGCGGTGCAAACGAAAAGTTCAGGCGGATGGTTTCTCGTCTCGAAGCCCTCCTCAGGTGCGGGGAGTTGCGGCTTCGAATCCCGTCGTAAGGCCTCGGGCTGTGCTGGTTGCGGACTGGATGGCTGCTAAACGACGAGAAGGAAGGAGCTGGACACTCGCCGGGGGGCGGGGCTAAACAGGTTAATTGGAAAGCCCACGATGTCCCAGCGAATGACCCAGAACAAAGGGTGCTTCAGGGTTATAAGGGAAGGAGTGGACCCGGGAGGGGTTTACAGAAGACCAATAGGGGGAGAAGAGGGGATGAGCTTAACACAAATGAGATAGCGGAGAGCCCAATAGGTACCAGGTATGGGAGGGGTCCCGGGACCACAGCCAACCACAACCCCCAAAGAGGAGAAGCTTCTGGAATGCTAGGTGGAGTGGGGGGGTGATTGACTGGCCCAGGGAGGAGGAAAAGCATACATATAAGGGAAAGAAGGGAGGAGGAATTGTATAACCTGAAAGACTGACAATATAACTGGCAGGGCTGTGGCGGGAAAACTGAGGAGGGCAGAACCATTTTACACAAAATGGGGGGGAGCAGCTACATAAAATGGGGGAGGAATTAAATGAACTTAATGAACACACATATGAACACACATATGAACACACTACAACACTCCAGTGAGTAACAGCAAACCCTCCCCACCTCCCAGCCCCTGGCTCAGCACCAGAGCCCGCAGCAGAGACTGGACAATGTGCTGTGCTGGGAAGAGGAGCTGCTGGTGGCTCAGGAGAGAAGTGAGGCTGACAGGGATCAGCCACCCTCCTGCACGGCAAGGCTCGAGTGCTGCAGGCCGGGCAGTGTTTAATTACTAAACACCCTTAATCAAATTAATTCCTGATCCTTTGGTAAGAAAACCACTGACGTATTGCAGGGACCTTGGTGGCAGGCTCACAGCTGATGGCCTGCCTGGGCTGGCACATGCCAATGAGGGCCTTGTTGGATGCTGTGAACCAGAACTGGCACCCACGTTGGGTCTGGGGCAGGAACAGAGCAACTGGACCCAAAACCAGCACAGGACTGAAGGTTTCATCTTTCCTTCCTCTGCTCCAAACCCTCAGTGACATTGCATCCTACTGGTGCCTGTGTAGCACTTGCTACAGATGTGATGGGAATTGTTGCAGTTACAGGGTTTTTAACAAACTGCTGCTTCACATCATCAGAAAGTGCCTTTATGCAACCAGGAAAACAAAAGTGTAAAGGGTTGAGGCTCCTTTACTTGCTGAATTTTTGGCAATCGGCGTCGGCAAACTTGTTTTTCTGATCAATTGAGGAAAAGCGCTGTTGGCAAATTTGTTTTTCTGATTAATCAAACCCTTATAAATAGTGGCAGGAGGCAGATCTATGCATAGTGGTGTGTGTGTGTCCATGTGTAGATACAGGCACTATGAACATGTGAGTGTGAACGTAGACATAGAGAGCTCGGTGTAAATGTGATATCAACCCTCTGCTCCTTCTACAGCCTCCCTTCCACCTCCTCTGAGAGAACCCAGCTGCTCCAGGGCTGGGGCTGGTCCCATCCTGGGCCTGTTATCCTCCAGCCCCACCTGGGGAATGGGAGGGGGTCCCACATTTGCTGGGGGGGCTTTGAAGAAGGTCTGGCTTCGGTGGGGACAGGACCAGGACAAGAGCAGGAAGCTTTTCCTGAGTTATGGGGAATTTTTTTCAGCTGGGCTTGATTTTAGGGTGGTTTTCATGCATTTACCTTACTTTGGGTGCATATTAAAATCAAGCTGCTGAGCTCCAAGGCTCCTACTGTTCTTTGTCAGAGGGTGGTTTCATTTCCACCACAGAGAACCCAGACAGGCAGAGCCCTCAGGATCAAAGCTATGGCAAAAGAAGTAAATTCTCCCTATGCCAAGCTGTTATCTCAGGCTGTGCCAGGATTTCTCATCCATGGGATA